CCTGCCCCCCCCCCCCGAATATAACACCGTTTGCGGCGCGGGACGGTTAACGGGTGGCGCGGGCCGGATAAAATCCATTTTGCGTAATCCGTCATGTCCGCATTTATCCGTCATTAATTCAGCTGCGATTTTAATTGACAGAACAGCTACTACGCCCGCTCGCCCGCGGCTTGCACAGTGTTTATATTATCGATTTTGCAGTATGTACGTCCACCAACCACTGACCAGGCGATGAGCGCGGCTCACTCGCGTCTACTCGCGATTGATGCAATGATAACTGTGTCTGTCTGCGTCGATAAACCGGAGAATGCGGATCGTTAAAGCGAGGCAGGCGGGATTGTGTACGAAATTTCCGAAAATTCGGGCAGCATCAGATTGTAATATAATCGCGCCGAAACAATACGCGAGCGACTCAAATTTTCATTTTAAATTGCCGTAGTAACGACTTTTCGGATCTCGCGGAAGCGTTTCCTCAACATTTTTCCCCGGTACCTGCGGTCCTTACACCTACTTTTGTGTAAACGGCTCTGGCTTTCGAACACGCAATTTTTATTTAACCAGATATTTTGCGCAGAAAAACTCGCGCATTCGGAGACTGATGAAAGATTTCGAAAATTTTGAGAAGGAATTTTGTCATAAATGCACCTCTGCAAATAGATCCTCTCTCGAGAATCTAATAGATTCTTTTTGTAAACCCGGGGTATTAGGGAAAATACTGTTAATCCCGTTGATCGCCATCGAACGCAGAGCGAATTACCTTCGTTATTATATCGCCGCGGGGGATTTTATGATATTTTCCTCCGGTATATAATGGCGGTTTAATCAACACAATATCGCGCGTGCACATATACAGGGCGGTTCAAGCACTTGATACGAAACGATCGATCAGCTGCCGCGTACTCCTTTCGATTCGGAAAGTAATACGAGGGCGACGAGTTGGAAGATCGCCCGCGCCTGTTACACGGGACACGCATTTTTCAAATCTAGCCCCATTTCGTCAAATAAACGACGGATCACGCGATTCATCGAGTTTCATTCTTTCTCCGCTCCGGGAAAAAAACAAGACGGCAACCCATTTTGGGGCCCACAATTAGTAATCGAGTTATTTGGATTGAATCGCAGGGGAGTGAGACAGCCTATGTTTCTCTCTCACTCGCGGGAATTTGACGAACCCTTATGGCCAGTCTCTGATTACAGGGTCTCCAGTGCACGACAATCCTTTCGCATTAGCGAATTCGTGTCCGTAAGCGCGCGAGCGACGGTCAAAATATCGGGAGAACGACGGGGATAATTTTTGAATCCGCGCGTTCGGTGCGATCTCCGCGCGCTTATCCCGATCTGCCGAAGTTCCCGAACTCCCGGGGGGATCGTCGGGCGCACCGGGGGCTTCTCTATCGCAATTGAAGCCTCCTTTCAGATTTTCAATAACGCACTTCTCGCGTTAAAGTTGACGGCGCTAAAAAATTCAAGCCTTATTCGCCGCGTTTAATCCGTCTCATCGGTCTCGGCGGCCGGAGGGTTAATGCCGCTCTCAAAAGCGCCGCATTAAATGTTTATTGTCCGTCTACTCAAAGGCCACTTCGTCTAGTCGTACGGCTAGTTTCACGAGGTTAACCTAGCGGGAAGCCAGCGACGGCACCGCAGAGAGGGTAGGCTAAAACCGGAGTCTAGTTTCGTTCGGTAGCCGGCAGCCGCCGGTCCCGGCAAGTGCCCATCCCTTCTGAATATTTTAGGAGGTACGCGCGCGTGTATCCCACCTCACTCCACGCCACGTTATATCGAAGCCTCCGGTGGACCCGGGGCGTGGTGTACATTCCAGGATACGGATACCCCCCCGCGATTAAATTCGCATGTACGTCTGGGAAAACTGTGACTCGGGAAAAGTCTAGGGAGCAAACGCACGCAGCGACAAAGGGAAAACTGTATCGCCAAGTGTTCACGAATTCGCGGATTTCCTCGCGACGTCCCGAGAAAATTTCGACCCTACGTTGAACCTTTAATTCTATTATACAGTAGGACCTAAGACAGTAAAAGGGGTCGAACTGCTAGCACGAAATTTACTCCTACTTTAAAACTGATAGCGTCGGAAATTTCCACTTTCGCCAATTTAGCATTTTAAGTAGGAGCTAAAGTGAACGTTTAGAATTAAAGATTCAAGGGAGGAGTAAAAAAGTATAATGTCATCAAAGTACGTTGGCCTATGTAGGCGTATAGATCAGCTAAGTAGGTGTAAATTATCCTTAAAAGTCTCAAAATAGTACCAAAATTTCGACTCGGGGTCTGCCCGGAAAATTCAGCAAGAGGGCACCTTCGTGCCGAGGCTGGTCTTTAGCGACCAACGAGATCTCGGAGGTACGTTTTGCAATTCGCTCAAATTCCCCTTCGTGCCGCCCCCCCCCCCCCCCACGGGCTCGTCGTTCCAGAATGCGCGATTATTTCGGAATCGAGTTCTTTCCCGATGATTTAAAGTGGATTCTACAATCGTAATCCCATTCGCTTTGTAGTCCGGGATTTTTACGCCCGCTTTTGTTGTCACTACGCGCCGTTGTACGGCGGTACAATGTCGTTTCTCGTTTCTAAAATCGGGATTCCGCGAATTGAGACGGGGATGCTTACATCGATTTATCCGGTAAATCGTGCTCGGCGGCCAGTCGCAGATCTTCCAGTGCGAGATGGTATTCTTTGAGGGCCATAAAGATCTCGGCTCTTCCCAACAGCGCCAGGGGCAACGACAGACCCTGATCAACCGTCTTGTTTCGACCTGAGACAGATATTGTCGATACCGTATGATTTGGGAAAATATTGCTGCCCGGCCTTCGAGACCCGCTCGCTCATCGATTACCTACCGCTCGCCAACAATTTATCGACACAAAGCGAATGAAGCCATGAAAACGCGAGGGTCTTTCGAACAATTGACGTATGTTGCTAGAATGCGGGTAAGTAAGATTTAAGTATTTATCCCACTTGTTGTGCGGATTTGGCGCGACGCCAGAGCATACGTGATCAACTCGTCGACGTACATTTCAGAGACCTACGCGCGCATTACAAATTCATAGAAATATTAAAATTCATTTGATACGAAAATAAAAGATCGACCGGGCCACGTATATGTAACGTAGCATACGCCAACAAATAGCCTTTGATTCCCCCGCACAAATCACTGTTTTAATATAAATCTAAATTAATTAGCAATTAATAATTAAATCAGATAAATAACCATTATATTATATTTGTAGTAAATAATGATTATGTACGATTTAATTAAACATTTGTAGCGTCGCGTCCTAATTATTGCAACAATGTAAGTGTATTATATTTATATCAGCACAAAACTAAGCATAAATTCACCGCTCGTTAGTTAGCGATCCGCCTTAATCCCGCCAATCTAGCGCGTTTATTATAGATAACAATAAATTATCTATAATAAACGGTGAAACGTCAATTATCCGGACGAGTTGTGCGACGGCGATGTATTTATCTATGCACAACTTTTCCATAGAGAAAAATGTACGCGATACTGAAGGTATAAGCGACGTAACAGTTGGCGTAAATAACAATCTGTTGGGTAGAAACAAATGAAAAATTTCTCCGTCGAAATAAACCTCGCTTCCACCGCATTTGTAGTGACCTGGTTGAGGTGCGCGCAGGACAGCCTGACTGAACAGTAAAAGGGCCCTGTCGTGTTCGCCGACGGCGGCGAGCTGGTATCCTTCGAGTCGCCTGCGTCTCGAGATCCCCGCATCCTTATCCCTGAAAAGGGGCTTCACCTTTGCGAGCGTGTCGGCCACGACGTCTTTTACTTTCGCGTCGGCGAAGACCGCCCTCGCCCGTCCCTCGTCGTCATCGATCCGGCCGAATACCCCCGACGTCCAGGTATCGCCCGCGGTTTGCATCACGTGCCCGCTGAAATCGTGGAAGAATCCCTTCCCGCCGGAGCGGAGCGTCTCCGACGAGCAGAGGGTCCTGTAAAATTCATCCTGATCCTGCATTCTTGCGCACGGGGAGGACGCCCGGCGTGCCGTGTCTCGCGGAGCGGCTCTTTGTGCGCCGCGCTCTTCCTTCTCCCTCCCCCCCCGAGACCCGCCCGCGCTCCGTTAACGAGATCCTGTGTATGCGAGCGAATCGCCTTTAGACGGCCGCTGAAATACGGCCCGTCCGTTTTTATATCGCAGATTAGCGTACCCACTTAGTTCGTTACGATTGCGTCGCTTACATAAGTCCACTTCCCGGTCTCCCCCGTTCCGCCTCGTTTTATTTTTCAGGCACCCCGTTTTATATATTTTCTGCTACTTATTACCTCCTCCGGCCTGTCCTTTTTTGTAGACGTCCCTTTAGTACGCGCCGGGGAACAAGTTATCTTTTAAGATTTTTATCTTAATTTACCTCTCAGTTATTACGCTCTTATTCGGTATATCCCAGTTTTCTTAATACTTTCAGCTAATTATGTTTTGATTAAATCTCCTCGTATATTTCTACTTTTGCGAGAGATGAATTTCCCTGGAATACAATCAATTCCCTCCTCCTGTCTCTCTGCTTCTTTACGCGGCGAAGTTGTCGATGTACCGACTAGAAGTCCGCCTCGTTACTCTCGATGTTGCACCGTTTCCCTTCGACCGATCCTTCTGAATATTACAGGAGCTAGGGTGTTTCGGTATTTTGTATCCGCCGTCGAACTCTCGGGATTAGGAAAATACCAGCAGCTGTTGGATGATTCGCTGGGAGCAACAAGCGGAATATATACTCGTATATAAGGCGCTCGGTGTAGGTGTTCCGTTGGCGAAAATGTCGTTAGATCCGCGCGTGATAATTTTGTACAGGCTGATTTCGGGCCGAAAGGTAACGCTAGAAGCGCGCGGGTCCGAAAAAAGTCATTCCGCCGCACTGAATCATAAAAGGCCGAGGACCGGACGCGCGGGCAGATTCCTATTCTCTCGTCTCGAGTCCGTGGAATTAAACGACTCTATTCGCCCGTGAGAAATAGCCACTCGGGGATTCTCTATCAAGAAGCAGCGAGACCCGAATTTAAAAGGACTTCCTCCTTCGCCGGGCGAGTCCTCCTTCGCAAATTGGTTGGCTGCTGGAATATCGGATGAACACCGTATTCTCTTCGATCCTTCCGCTGCTACGTCTGTTTACGTCCGTTTCGTCAAACGGGCAAAAACGGCACGGCACAAACAGCTCAATAATTTTAACACGCGTTTAGAGGAATCCAAAATGGTCAAAATTCCAGCGTACACTCGCGATAATTAACGGGCGGTACGTGGCACCGAAATCTTATCGGCTTTAAATCCCGCTTTAGATACCGTCCGCTGCTTAAACGCTTAAGTAAAGTTCACTTCAACGACTCGTTTGACTGTCTTTTGCGCAAACTTTTCACTTCTCCTCTTCAACCATTCCGAACCTGCATCCCGATTTCTTTCTGATTCCCTCTTTGCCGATTCGCAGTTTCGGGGCACGACGACCGCGGCCGAGGAACACCCGAGTGCATACCGAATGACTGAAACGGATTACCGCCGCCGGGCCCGCCAACCACCCTCTCCCGCCGCTCGGCGAGTAAAACTTTAAAGATCCTCGACCACTCTCATTCACCGCGAAAACCGCAGTACCCGGGGATTCCTCACGTCTCTCGCGCCGGCTCGATGCTTTATGAGGGGTTTACTTTATAGACACGAACGAGGTATTAGGACGGAAGACCGGTATTAGACTGAAGACGCCGCTAGAATGCGGACGGAAGGGAGGGACAAATGTATGTGCGTATATGTGGCGAAAGGGTACAAGGATAGAACGCTGCTAAGAAGAGAAGCTCCCTCTCCACTCTTGCTTTCTCTCTCTCTCTCTCTCTTTCCCCTCCGCCCATTCTTTTCTCTCTTTCTCCACGTTAGAACAGCTACAGAAATAATTTTAGACACGTTCTATTTCGATCGTAAGCGAGGCGTTCGCTCCTCATCGCCAGAGTCCTCTGGCTCCGTCCGCTCGCAAGCGCCGAGTAATCGTGAAACGCCACGAGAAATTTCTCGTCGATAACGACATTCTCGATCCCGACGTCGTCTGATCCCCCTGCCACCATCCCGCCTCCTTTTTTCACCGTCGTACCGTGCGGTCTTACCCCGGCGTCGCCTCTCGAGTCGACGCAGAAATCCCACCCCCGATATCCGCCCCCGTCACTGTCCGTCCCACCGCCATAGAGCCCCATTATAGCCCAAGAAAATTTATCGCCGAACGTCCTTGATCTCCCTTCCCGCCTCTCCCCGCCGACCTCACCTGCCCGCGGTGGAAAATACCTGGATTCGAGTAACTCGTAAATCGAACTAGCTGTGTAATAAAGTCGTACCGTGACGTTACTCGCTCTTTCGGAGTTTCCGCACCTTGCGACTTTTTGCTATTGTGCGCCGAGCGAAATCTTCGAGCTCCCGTGTGCGAGACGTTCTTACGTGACTTTTCCCTCGGCCACTTAATGGTGAGCTAGATCCGACGTCGCCTCGGTGCTAAATCTTACTTCCCTGAATTTTCGTGTCAACCATGTAATTGTAACTACGCGAATGATTGATATTTTTCAATTGTCCCGCGCTATTTAGCTCCAATTTTGTTTCTTTAAATTTTACACTTAAAATCTTTTCAAGTTATAAATTTGTAATTTCGAAATTTCGACATGTAACCTTAAATGCAATTCTTTACATTCTTTTAAACGGACGATCGACAATTTTTCATGTTCAATTTTGTAACCGTGAATTAACACATTTAAAAATAAAAAATTTACATTTACAAAATTACGTTTTCTCATAGTAAAATTTCACACCCAGTTTTGACGATGGATTTTTCGGTTGATTTGATATTTTTTCTCAATATAAATATGTTACAATACAATCATAATTATGCAATAATAAGTAATGATTGCGAATGAAGGACCGACTCTTTCTAAACTTGTAGAAACATGTGGATTTTAAACAAACTCCCCAATTATTTTAATTGAATGTTCATACATTCTATAACGATGCATAATGTTAAAGAGGAAAAAATAATAAGCTTTCCCTCGTCATATTCGCTGAAGCGAAATAGACACAATTTTCCAAACAAATTTACCATTCGAAAATTCATCCGTTGGAAAGAGACACCCGATGTAATTTCTCAATTAATTCTTTCGCAACTTCTCCCTGCTTAAAGTATTTCGGGCACGTTTTAAAACCGCGGAGTTTTAAGTCCGTAGAGCCCCCGGTCGGGTCATCCGGCCTGAGAGAATTTGTACATACCGCATCAACGTTCACCATCCTTGAGAACGTAAAGTATCGATGCTGCTCCTCTGATGAAATATCGACACTTGACTTCTTGGAGTAAATGGAACTTTTCGCGTGGTAACGTCATATGAAATTCCCGAAGGACCGTCGGCAGTTGTATCGATTTAACGTCCGACCACGTATACCCCGTTAGTTGTCATATGCGTGTCAGGTGCTCGCCTTATCTATTCGCAATCCCGCTCATATTCTTCTCCGGAACGTATGAATTTTTCAGTATTGTCGTCGCAAGATTCTCTCTCTTTCCTCCCCCGCTGCGAGAGAGAGCGTGGTAAAAATTCTCCGCGGACCGAGTTGTCTGGCGTGCACCGCGTTAAATTATTACGCCCAAGATTTTCCGCCTCTGCCCGCGTTTACTTCGTAATCGCGGACCCTTCGATCAATTTGTACCTTCGCTAAGGAACGTGACCGCGGATTTCGTTCCCTCCCCGGAAACTGATTGCCGAGCAACAAACTGGGAATAGCGTCGCGTGATGAACGGCGATGCCGTCGCTAATGTATTCAATCGTCAACGTGATTGGTTTATCGAGTTAAAAAGATGTCCTCGCCTATACGTCACGAACCCCCCCCCCCTCCCGCCCCCTCCTTCTTTCAATCCTAAGATAACGCGAGTTCCTTCCGCCGAGAGACGAACCACGATGGGTATTAAATTCTGCGGGCAATCACTTTTTTCCCTTCCTTTTCTGAAACACCGATTCTCGTGCAGCGCGGTCGTTTCTCGTGCACGGGGGGTTTTTTTTTTCCGGTAGGAAACGCTCGCTGACGGCATATCTTGCCGAGGGTTCGCGATAATCGGGTCGATTTATGAGCCAAGATGGGAAGTTATCGCGGTACTGGGCAAAGCAAAACGTTGGCAGCTTTATCGGTCTCGAATTCTCTCCCGTGAACTCTATGGAACTTCAGGAAGAACGCGCGGTAGATTTATCCGCCCGCGCGCTCGCGCGCGCGTTCTCACTCTCTCTCTTTTAGCGTCGCTAATAATTGATACATCTGTTGGCTCGCGCGCCATATTTAACTACGAGATAACGATGTCGTAATCAGGACGCGTTAAACAGGACGTTCGCGTGCGATACGCGCGCCAAACGAAGCCCCGCCGTAATTCGTAGTTAAGTTCCCGGCGGCCGCGCGTTTAATTCGTACGGACGCTAAATGGCGCTCTTTCTTTTTTTCCCCCCCTCTCCCGCGTCGGGTAAGGCAAGCCATTTCGCGTGTCGGGGCAGAAAGACGCGGCTGATTCGCGTAATTCGAGCAAATTGCACAATAATGCCGGCGGAATATTCGCCGAGGGATCTTAATGGTATTTTTATCGACTTTCCTACCAGCGCCGCGGCGACCACCTTCGTGCGCGGCTGTCTGGAAAAACAAAAACAAAAAAAAATGTCGTGGGGTCCGCCGCGAGAGGGGGGAGAACCTCTTTTCGTCCCCTCGCCCTGCCGATGCACATTACGGGGCGTGTACACTTTTTTCTAATGAACCTTAGCAGTTCTTACGTTAGTTATTCAAATTAATTTCCCCCCGTGTGTGTGTGTGTGTGTGTGCGCGCGCGTACCTCGCCTCTTTTAATCGCGGCCATAAGGGCACGAAATTACCATCGCACCCTCTTCGGCCAAACACCTCGCCTCGTCTCCGCACATCCTGCCCTGCACCGCTGACTACTGTCATTAAATGCAAATTTCGCGCGGCCGGCGGGGCAACTGGAG